TTGGCTGCTTTACTACGGATGCCTGCCATGTGAGCATTAAGTGGAGATAGAGGAAGGTGCTCTGGCAGAACAGTGCTTGTGGGCCTATCTTAGCTCAGGCTGCCATGAATTTTCCTCCCTGTTTGAGGCTGGAAGTCTGAGATCAGGGTGCCTGGGCCGTTGGGTTCTGGTGAGAGCCCTCTTGAGATGGGCGCCTTCTTGCTTTGTTGGCCATGGCAGAGAGAGCGAGTATACAAGCTCTCTGCTGTCTCTTCGGATGAGGGCACTAATCTCATCGTGGGGGTCCCACCCTGACGACCTCATCGACTCTAATCACCCCCCGGCTCTGTCTGCATGTATCTTAGGGCACCTGGTGTAAAGTCACACACACAGTCCTTGCCGGTCCCTTGGACAGCCTTTGAGTTGAGACCTTTAGGACTGGGTTTGGTCCCTGCTCAGACCTGGTAAAAATTTCTTTGCAAGAAGCTAGTAGCTTTTTTGAGCCTGGAAGGAGCGGCCTGGGTGGCCCAGGGGCCCTGATTTATCTTGTTCTCACCCACCCCACAGGCCCTTGGCTGAACCAGGAAGGTGGAAGGTTCTTGGCCCTGCACTTGCCCTCTCCCTCTCCAAGGCAGGTGGGCTGCCAGGGCTTGCCGAGTGAACCGGGGGCCAGGTCTACACCCTCAGGAGGCAAGTCTTATGCCAACCCAAGCTAGAGGGAGGTGGACATGGTTGAAATCTTTTGAGGGGGATTTCAAGACAAAATGCACAAGACTGGGGGTAGGTATCATGGAAGGGAGTGCAAAGTGGTAGGAGGCCTCCTTACAGGACCACGGGCTTGTGTTGGGCTTTGGAAATGTGTGGATGTGTTGGGAAGGTGTCCTTCTGGGGGATGGATTGTGCTCTGAGCTGGTCAGGGTAGATGTGGGAGGATACAGAATGATCTGGAAGGTGGGGTGGAGACTGAGCTGGAAGAGTCAACTAAATATCCAGTGAGTCCTTTCCAAGCGGCAAGGACCATGCTGGTCTTTGAAGGCAGGGTCTCATGAGCCAGGCTGGGGGTTTCAGGCCACGAGGAAGTTTGATGCCATTCTGTGACATGAGGAAAGTGGCCCAGGAGGGAGGTGCTTCTTACTGCACCAGGCTTCTCTCTCTTAGCTCCCCCTCCCCAGCCTCCATCCCATCTCTCACCCGTAAGCAAGGAGAAATACACTCCAGTGTCTTCACGTAAGTGTTTGGTTATTTCCTTCCACCCCCAAAGGGAAAAATGGCTTCCCAAACAATTAGGTATTTATTTTATCATCTCATTTGCGGTCCCAGGCTGATTTGTGGGTTTGGATTGCTGTTTCTTTCTCGAATCTCAACTGGATGTAGTAACAAGTGCTTTTCTTTTGCTTCTGTTTTGGCCAACAACTTATTTTGCATTGCCTGCTTTGTGGCTGATGCCTCGCAGCAGAGGTTTGGGGTCAAGGCCATGATGAAATGGCAGAAGGACAAGGAAGCAAGCCGTGGTTTGTTTAGAATGCTTTCCTGCCTGTGGTTGCTACCTTAGAAGCCATGTGGTTGCTCGCCAGGAGAGGTGCAACCCAGCTGCATGAAATCAGAAGTAATTCTGCTGAATTGCAGAAAAGGACTGGGCCGAAGGGGCAAACCCAGCTCAGGTCTGAGTTTCTGCAGTCAGTTTGTCCTTCCTTGTAGGGCAGCTTAGCCGAGAGTAAGTCCAAGTTGTTTTTCTCTAGACTAAGCTGATGTGGAACCCTGGAAAAAGTAGAAACTGGGTAGGATGATAGTCATTTCTACTGTGGTTGAGAGGGACATCGGTGTTTCCATCGTAGGACCATCAAACTGAACGCCCCTTGGACCAGTCTAATTCCTGTTGGCTCCCCTGACAACAGATGCCATCTGATTCCACCCCACTTAGGGACACATACCTGCGCTTTCAGGAGACTGGATGCTAGTGGTAGGATTTGTCAAGGTGACGGATTCTTGGATCTGTGTTTTTGCACTTTATCTGTTGATACCATGTGCTTGCATGTTAATTATTAGTGTTGATTAATCAGTGAAGCACTTCCAGCCCCTAGCCTCAGTGATCATCTAACCCACAGCACCAGTGGAATGATTCACCAATTTGTGCCCAGTGTTGTAAAAATGCAACATCACTGTGTTGGTCTTTATCTGTAGCCTCATGAAAGACCACAAAATGGGGGCAACGATTCTAGGACCAGAGGCCCCTCTCCTTGGCTTTGGGAGGGTTTGTGGATGTTACCCAGGTAACTCTAAGCATGGCCTTCTCTCTTGCGGTCCCCTCCATATTACTAACAACTGGCCAGAGCAGTCATACTGATCAAAGGAACCGACTTCCTTTTGAACCATGTAGGGAAATAGAGTCCTATTCTTGGGTATCGGAGAGCATGGTTAGGCCAGGTCTCCATCTCCTTTCACATCCTCACCGCTCACTCTCCCGTCTTTCTTCTTTAGGGGACCCTATTATGGAGTTTATAAATACCTATGAATAAGTCAGACAGAACATCTTATTTAATCCACACAGCAGGCTTGCCAGGGAGGTGTTCTTATCCCCATTCTGTGGCTTCGCAAGAGGCCCTGAGAATGACACAGATGTCCCTTCCAGATTGCTTTTGTTCCGGAGGCTCCTGCATTTTAACCCAGCTCCCAGGGCAGCCTGACCATCTTCCAAAGGTAGGGAGCCTGGGACTAACGCCCCTGGAGCTGGGGCCTTATCAAGCTCCGCCCAGTGCAGGGGGCTGGTCCTGGCCAAGTTGCTTCATCTTTCTGTGCCTCAGTAACCTGACCTGAGCAATGGGCATCCCACCACCAATCCCCAGAGATGGCGTGGGAGTTAAAGCACCTGGATAGCTGTCTTCAGGAGAGAACAGCTGACCGGGGCGGCTGAGGGGGGCGGGGGTGTGTGGCTGGGTCTTGAGCGGAGTTTGGGGTCTTAGTTGGATGGAAACAGGCTCTTCCTCTCCTCTTGGCACCTCCGTCTTCCCACCAAGAAACAGACAATTAAAGAGTGAAACTTCATGACTAAACAGGAAGTTGCACCTCAGAAGGCCACAGACAAACCAGTTAGTCTGATGCTTTATAAATTCTCTGAACACTCTTGACAAGAAGCAGGGAATGGAGACAGAGCCGGACTGGCTTTTTGGGCACCGGCTGGCTGGTCTTAAGGGCATGGTACCCGGGGTTCCCCCTAGATTTGGCTCACTGCTCCAAGCATGTGACCTTGGACCTGTATGTGACCCCCGAAGCCACCTCAGGTGATTTGAATGGGTGTAGGTAGACAGAGGGAACACATCTTGGCCCTGAGAGCACCTTGGACCTGGTTTCCGGGAGTAATAACTGAGCCAATTGCTCTCCCTTGGAGGCCAACAGGCCCACCTGCTGTTGGGCAGAGACCAGGGGTCCCAGCACTGGGTCAGGGAGACAGGGGAGGGGCCAATGCAGTGATCGAGATAGGAAGCAGTAGAGGCTGCTGGTTTCCGGATATATTTTGAGGGTAAATCCAGAAGCATTTGCATATGGAGGGAAGTGGGCTGTGACCAAGATTGGCCTGAACAACCGGAAGAAGGGAGCCGGTTTCCTATGGTGGGAACAGGTGGTACAGGGCCACTGTGGGGGGCCGTGGAGGGGGAGCAAGGACTTTGGCTGTGTTCAGTTTGAGAGGCCTGGTGGGCAGTTAGATGTCTGAGTCTGAAGTTCAAGGGTGAGGTCTGGGGCTGAAAACATTAGTTTGTCAGGATACAGGTGGTATTTTTAAGGCCCCGAGGGAACGGTCTGATAGTGCCTTCTGCTCTTGGGTTTAGAATAAGCCATTGTGGAGTAGAGAGAGGGAAGTAGAGTGAGGAAGCTGCTATAGGGCCACAGGCACCCGGAATTTGGGGGGAGTGGGCCTTTTTGCTTCAGGAGATGGCCTGAAATGCATGGTCCAAACTGTGTTTACAGAGGAGGAGAGGTGAGCTGATTGTTTTGTCCTGCGCCTAACCCCAACCAAACCAACCTTGTTGGAGCCCAGCACTGTCGGGAGTTCAGGCCTGTAATTGCACCACTGCTGGAAAGCTCTCATGCTTCAGTGTTCTCCACCTTGAAGGGGACATTTCAGGGAGTCCGTGCTTTCCTTCAAGAGCATCCTGGTTTACCTACCGATGCTGACAAAGCTGCATCTAGTAAAAGTTGGATCACTCCCTGTAAGAAATGAATCCCAGGAACGGTTTCTAATTTCAGGCACTCAAAAAGGGCCCTGGCCTTTGACTTTGACCATTTAAAGGGGATCGTGAGAACAAGTGGTTTGAAAACTTTGACATGATGTGGCTGTAGAGGGGAGTGTGTGGCTACTGAAATTGGAAACTTGACCTAAGACAATGGCTTATAATGTAGACTGCTCACGAGTCCTTTTTAAGGGCCTTCAGTGCTCGGACTGGGTAGGAGCTATAAAAACAGTTACTTTTTCTCTTCGTCGGTCTCATGAATTTGCATGCGCACTGAGGTTATGGCACATGGAAGAAGGTAACAGGGTTCAAATTTAGCATATATAAAAGCCTGAAGCAGGATGACTTTTGGGTAGATTTTTCATGAAATTCTGATTTTTCTCTGACTGCAGAAGCTAGCATTTTAAAATATTATCTCTTTGGTCGGCCCTGATTTGCAGCTCCAGGACATATAGGCAGCAGGGCTGTTTCATGTAGCTTAGAAAAAAAGAAAACGCACCAAAACCTTGCTGATGCGCTTTGAGCTCAGAGACCCTCATTTCTTTGCACCAAGTCCCTCCTCTCAGGGACTATGAATACTGGTTTGGGGTTAATTCTGGCACAGTTGTTAAGATGATACAGAATGTGGGCTTAAACTACAGCCAGAGGGTTCAGTTCTGTCCTGGGTTCTGAGTGGCCCTCGGCTAAGGGATGATACTCATTAAATGGATGATATTAACATGAGTTGGAAGCATAATAGAGGTCAAAGGTGATTTTTTTTTTCTTCTCAAAAATGGTTTTGCAAATCTTTTTCAGAGCTGATAGACACACACCTTAGCTGGATACAAAACATATTATGAAACAGAATGACTGTGATCTTTGATCCGAGAAATCAAAGTTAAAGGTAATTGACATCTTCTGCTTCTCCTTTTGTTTTCCAGCTGTGTGTTTCCTTAACTTGAATTACTTGTAGTAGAAGAAAACTTTTCCAACCGTCCTCACAGACACCACTTCCTGCTCTTAAGGGCTGGACCCCACTGCTCTGTAAGGGGACACCCCTGGGGGACATCCCTGAGACTGGGAGGTTGGAGCATCAAGGTTGGGGTGGGGAGGTGGGGATGAGGCTCTGGGAATTTGCATGTTCTCCCAGAGGTCCTCCCCTCCCAGGAAGAGCACAGCCAGGTCATGTTCCTACATTTGAAAAGTCCTGCTCTGCAGCGGACCAGCTCCCTTTTGGGTTTTGTGCAACTTTGCTGGGTGTATATGGTTAAGTAAGACTCTGTCGGAGGTGGGGCATTCTGCACTGGGGAATGAGAGAAGGCAGGCAGAGCAGGAGAGCTGGGAAGCTACTCTCAAAGTCCACTGTGCTTGGTTCAGGGTAGAGCTGGTTTTCCCATCGAGCTCAGCAGTGCCCCTGAGCTAGCCTCAAGCATTAGACCCCCCTCCATGGACTCTGGATTCTGGGCCTGCAGACAAGAGCCCGGGAGCTACTGCAGACTCCACAGCGCAGGGCTCAGGAGACACCTGTGGGTCAGCGAGGCTTTCGCTCTACTGCACCTCACTTCCTGGAGCCTGTGACGTTCTGGTTAGAATCCACACATGCAGTGGCCCAAGTGTGGTGAGCCCTCCCCCGAAGTCAGCCAGTGGTCTGGGGGTGGGGTGGGGGTTAGAGGCTTCCTGACCTCTCCCCAGCTCCCTGGGCTATGGCTTTTAAATGGCCCCTTTGTCAGAGAAAGGGGGCTCATTCCATCAAGGCCAGGCCCAGAGGAGCGTGTTCGCATCACACTGGTGAATTTTACTGCATTTGCAGAGGCCCTGGGCGGGGAATCCCAGAATCATGTTGCCCAGAGGGTGGGCTCTGCAGAGATCCCAACCCTTCCCGGGAGCAGCACGAAAGGGGCCGTGGGGAAGGGCGTGCTGCTCGGGCACCTTCTCCAACAGGGACTATCGGACACTGTCCACAGAAGCAACGCTACCCTGAGCACATTAGCGGGACACGAGGTGCCAGACTCCCCCCCCCACGAGTCAGGGTGACAAACAGGCAGCTATAAGCCACTTAACCGAAGTCCTTAAGGGCCTTTTGAATGTGCTTCTCCCCTCCCTGGTATTAGCACTTGGCAAAGTTCTGACCTTACAGGGGCCTGGGAACTTCGGCAAGCTGGCTCGGTATCTTCAGGGCCCCAGGGGGATTTACCAACTTGTAACTCGCAGACCCCACCCACGCTTTGGGCTTCAGGCCTGACGAGGTTGTTTTTTTTGTCTTTTTCACTGAGCCTCTAACGTCTGGCCTGGCCCCTGTAGAAAGTTCTTCACTGTTCCCAAGTGCCCCTAGAGCAGGCAGGGATGGATGGAAAGTTGCTTAGCAAGCAAAAAGTAGAGCCCTGGGAGAGTTCTGTTCTCAGGAGGACAGATCATTTCGGTTTTGATATTGAAGCCACAGGAGAAGGCCCAAGGCCACCAGGCACCTTTCCTTCTTAAGCCCCTCTCCACATGCCAGTGAGGAAAACAGGCCCAGTGCTCACTCTTGGCGGTCCGAGCAGCTTTCCCCACAAGCAGTTGGGACAAGAGGCGGCAGTACCCAGGGCCCACTCACGTGCTTTCTGGTCCAGCCTTCTCGCCCCAAGCATGTGGGATGGGATGGGCTGGGCTGGGCTGGAGAAGGGCAGTGGGGATGGTGGGGGAGCCGCACCCCTCCTGGCTTTTAACCTCTTTGGCCTTAGAGGATGCAGCCTCCCCCGTTGCCATCCAAGCTTGAGGAGTGTCTTTCTGGCTGTGGCCTCTGTGGCTGGCCCCAGACTCTCCTGGGCACTCACATGATCTAACCAGATTTTAGAAAACATGCTTGAGGTTTGGGAGAGAAGCAGGATGGGGTCTGTCCACTCCTTCCTGTTGTTGCTTTCTCGGGGGATGAAGTTCCAAAGTCAGCAATTAAGGGGGAAAGGCCTAGAGTGAAAATGACTCTTAACAGACTTTTAAATTGCACCTACCATAGATCCGTGTGGTTTTCTCTATGCAACTCTGAGCAGCCATTCTTCCGCAAGGTGAAGCTTGAGAACCTCTGAGCTCAGCTGAAAGAAGTCAGCATGCAAGTGTCTGGCCCTTCAAGTGAATCAGAAAATTCCTAGGGCAGAGTGGGATGCTAACAGAAACCCAGGTTTTTAGAAATAAACACCTAGAATTGTTTGATGAACCCCACTCGTAGGAGGCATTGACCGCTGCAGTTGCCACGCCCCAAAAGTAGATGAAGAAAACACTGCTTTCCTGTTCATCTCTGTCCTTGGTATAGACTAGGCGTTGGTACACGAAGTCTCAGGCCAGTTGGTAATTGGCCTGTTCAAATCTGGCCCCCTGGCCTGTTATGGTCAAAGTTTTATTGGCACATGGCCATGTCCATTGGTTCACATGCGGTCGATGGTGGCTTTCACACTACAACAGCAGAGCTGAGTAGAGTGAGGGGGCCGTCTAGCCCATAGTGCTGAAAATATTTTTATCTGGCCCTTTGTAGAAAAACCTTGGTGATCCCTTGTGTATTCTTTTTATGCCTACAGCCATGTATTAGAATAGTTATATTTTTATTATGCTATCAGTTTGATTTTTTGGAGTTTTAAAGAGAAAAATGTATAATTGTAATAATATTTATATCTGTCAATCTTTTCCTTTCTGGTTTCAGCCTCAGGGGTCAGGCTTAGAAATCACCCTGAGGTGGAACCCACGTTCATCAGTGTTTTCAGCACAGTGCCTCACTCTAAGGGTGATAAAAGGTCAGGGGTTCTTGTGGTAGAGTCAACACCATTGGCCTCAGTTGTGTTCTGAGAAAGTGATACTTGGTGACCACCTTAACCACTCAGCACATGCCCTTCTCTACTGTTAACTTAGCAGAGGCTGCCCTTACCTTTTCCGGACACACACACACACACACACACACAAGACACTGAGGACCTCAGGGCCACGGAGGAAAGGCAATGACTACTGAACTTAATAGCACAGTCTCTTTATCAATTGTGTAGCCATATAGTGTTCAGGTTAATATATGGGCCCTGAGTTCAAATCCTGATCCTGTCATCTGGTATGGCTGGTGACTGCCTATCTCCATCTATAAAACAAGGATTGTATTACTAGGTTTGGTATAAGAAAAACTTAGCATTTATTACAGTGCTTGGAGCATGGTTAGCCTTCAATAAATATGAATGGCTTATATTTTGTAGACAAAAGTCTCCAGACAAGTAATAGACTGGCAACCCCTTTGTCGATTGGGTGACAGAGGAAAATCCACTTCCCCAAACCAAGTGACGTAGGCTGATGGTGTGGGATCCCTGTGGGGGGCTGAGATGCATGCATTAGCTACCTGCTGTGTGCATGGTGCTATGCATAGCACCACGGGGATACAGGTAACTCAAATAACCTGGTCCAGGAGTTTGCAAGCAAACCATTTCGAGAATTCAGTATTTGCTTTTGGAGGGAGTGAGGGCCGGAGGGTGAGAGTGGGAGATGGCTTCCAGGAAAAGGTGGCATTGGAACAGGGGCAGGAGGGAAGTCAGGGATGGGACAAGGAGAGGGGCTATTTGGAGAAATGCACATGGCCCAGTTTGAGAAGAGGTGGGAAGAAAGATACAGAGGTTGACATAGGATAGATGCTCAAAACATTTACTGAATGAACGAACGTAGAGGGCTGACCCACAATCTGCCACTCAGACCTAGGACCTGAGGCTACTTAACCCCTTGCTGAGCTTCCTTTTTCTCATTAAGTGTCAGCGAGCATGTCCTAGGTCCTGAGGCCCTATTTAAAAGCTGAGGATTCAGTGGGGAACAAGAACATAACCAAAGCACTAGCTGGTCAATTGCAGGAACCAGTGACTGGAGAAGACAGAGGGAAAGTGCAACTGGGCAGGGCTGGGGTGTGCACTGCAGAGCACCCAGACAGCCTTCCTGGAGGAGGTGGGTGCAGAGCCTTGAGTGAAGGAGTGAGGAGAAAGGCATTAGAGGCGGTGGGGGAGGCAGCCAGGGCAGAGGCCTAGTGGGGTGCAGGTGAAAGCCCACGTGGCCAGCCAGCGGTGGGAGATGCGGGTGCAAGGAGCTCAGACCAGCTTGCAGGGCCTCTAAGAGAGCAGGGTTTTTGCATCAGGGAGACCTTAAGAGGGGCAGAGCGAGGGAGTGAGACCAAAGCCCGAGAATGAAGTGCTACAGGGCTGAATCTGAAGTCCCTCTTCCCCCTAAAGGACAGACGCTGGGGCAAGACCAAGGGAGGGTTTTCATGGTAGGCCCCGGGGAATTGACTCAGAAGGCAGGGTAGCCTTGCTTACTCTTCCAGTACCCTTGGCTGTGAAGGGGAGACCTCCTACAGGCAGGACCCCCGGCTCTGGAGGAAGCGCTGGAGCAGAGACCCTCCAAGCTCCCAGACCTGTGGGGCTGCACTGCCCTGGCAGCCACCCAGCCGGCTCTTGTGCTGTCGAACTTTCTCTCCTTGTTCACAGCCAGGGGAGCATGCTCTGAGGTTTCAGCAAGTGAAGGTTCCTCTACCCAGAGAGGTTTCTGTGGGGTTCGAGGCCTCCCTTGGGGGCCTGAGTGCTCAACCGCCTCCCCCCCAACCCCCAACCACATGAAGGGCTGGTACAGTGTCCAGAGCTTTTCCAGATGCCACTGTTAGCTTCGACCCAGAAGTCGCTTTCAGAGAGCAGGAGGGGAAGGCCGCGTGGGCCTGCTGGCCGCGTCTCCTACCTTCCGGCCCCTCCCCGGCCTCTGCCTTCTGAGAAGGGAAACGAGCCTTTAGTGAGGGCTGGGGTGTCAACATGGCTGCCTCCCGGGTAGCTGTAGAAAGCCGGGGCGATGGAAAGTTTCCCGTTAGGATCGACTCCTCTGGTTTCCTAGATTGAGAAAACAGGAAGCCCTTCAGAATCCGGGCTTTGAAAAGCTCCGTGTGAAGCCACGCTGCCCCCGCCCCCCAACCCTGGCATTCGGCTTTCCCTGCTGCCTCCCTGCCCGCCCGCACAAAGGCCTCTCGGTGGACCAGGCCCTGGGGGGGGGGGGGCGCACCCCAGGGCGGGTCTTAGGGCGGCTGTTCTTCGTGCGGTTCCTGCCTGAGGGCCCCTTGGAGTCAGCTAGGCTGGTGCCTGGTATACAGTAAGCGCCCAATGAATGTTGGTCCGCTGACTATGACTTCATCCTGGGAGTTGCTCCTGATGGACCCACTTGCACAGTCTGCCGTTCTCATAGACGCACCCACATCTCGGCACGTCTAAGGCGAGTACCGAACGCGCACCATACTGCGAGCGGCTGCCCTACGCTAGCATTGTCTCCTCCGGGCTCCTCCGCACCCCTAGAAGCACGGGGACAGTGTTATACACGGTTTACAGATGGGGAGGCTGAGGCCAGGGTCAGCCAGCGAGGAGGCAGGAGAGGTAGGATTCGAACCCTGGCTAGTGGGCTCCAGCGCCCAAACGCCCCCCTCGTATCTGAACCGCAGAGAGCGGTGCTCGGCTGGTTTCCCGCGCAAAGCGAGGCGCGCGTGCGCGGAGCTCTCACTCACAGTCGCCCAGGAGCCTGGCGCTAGCGGGACCGTAGGCCGCGGCCACTGAGCACCGTCTCCCTGCGGGTGCGAGGGGCTCGCACGGACCTCCGTGCCGCCCAGGGACTGAACGGTACTCACGCTTTGTTTCCTCCTCCGCGAGCTGGAAGGCCCGAGGCCCAGGGAGGTAAAGTCACGGCGCCCTTGGAGCGAGGGGGCCGAGGAGCAGACGCACTGCCTGCTCTAAGGCCACTGGCGTTTGCGCTCCTCTCCTGGGGGGCTGGTGGACTCCCTCCCCGCGGGGGTTTCTGGGAAAAGCACACTGGACCTCGGAGGGCTCAGCTTGAACGTGGGGGAGAGTTTGAGATGAGATCTCAATAGTGAGAGACGGAAAGGCAAGGCAAAGATGAAACACCCAGTATGAGGCTGGGGCAGGGCAGCGGGAGAACTTGGGAGACCTTCCGTGGCACCCAAAAGGGGTCTCCCTCCTCTCCTGCCCCTGGGACCAGTCAACCCATCCCACTGCACAAACCGGGGTGGATACACACCTTAGGGCGGGTGTGCACCTCTGCCTCGGGTCTGGGCTGCCACTGAGAGCAACTTTTACCAAGAAGGCTGAAGGAAACCTTTTTGCCGCCCCCCCCCCCCACCCCACACCACCTCACTGCCTTGCTACAGGAACCACGGCCCTGGATAAGGGGGGGCCAAGATGGGAGAAGACAGCCAGCTTCTTGATGCCAGGGGCTGGCATCCCATTCCCGGTTCCCTGCTAGGAATTACACGGTCCTTCTGGGGGAGGGGGTAGCCGAATTTTCCAGACCCCTCGGAGGACATTTTCCACTTCTGAAGGCTCACAGTGTGATCCTTCACTAGTGGGTGGGGGGGGGAATTCCTGGTTGTGCTGAGAGAGATTTTTGTCTACACTGATGGCTAGTCTTTGAGGTATTCCCATGTGCTCTCTTTTGAAAGGTCCCTCTTCTGAGAACTGTACGCTCTGGGTTGAGTCATGTAGTCGGTATTTTCTGGACGCTATAATAATGGAAGGAGTTTGGTAGTCAGCAGAGAGAGACAGAACATCCTTAGCACCTGCCCTCTGGCCCAGCACGGTTTCTGCCACGATTTTTAAAGTTACGTTCACAAACACCTCGAGCACAAAATATTCTCATCCACAAAAGAGAGCAGAGGAAGACATTTCTTAGGTTAAAAACTGTCAGAATAAGAGCGTGTTTTACAAAATAGCCCCATTGTTTAGGTTCTAGAAAGCTAAGCTGATCTGTGTTGTTGGTGCCCGCTCACTTGCCCCTTCTCTCTCTCTCTCTTTCTCTTTCTCTGTTCTTTTGTAGTTAATGAAATTATCAGGAAGGAGTTTTCAGGACCTCCCGCCAGAAATCAGACGTAGAAGATGCCATTAGCAAGACACCTTCCGTATCTGACCCCTTGGAGCCTTCCACTGCCCTCACCTTCTGTTTCCTTTACTGTACATCTCCTGGCCTGGAGGCTACGCGCGGGACAAGGTCCTGGCAGAAAGCTGACTCTCGATTAAGGAGCTCGCCACCTCTCTGTGTAAACACCAGAGAGAACACTCTGCCTTTTGATTTTTGTTTTAAATCCCAGAGAGCATCTCGGTTGACTTTCCTGGTGTCCCATCCAAAAACCTTAAATGCCTGCTGACCAAACACACAAGACAGCACGCTGGATCGGCCCTGAGAACGGAGTGACCAGAGCTTGGGGCGTGGGCTGGGCTGGGGGATGGAAGATGTGGGCCCCTGTGATTAAACCCCAGCCCTGCGTTCATTTTTCCAGGTCACAGTTACAGCTCCTGTACCTTTTGAAGGAAAAAGGAGTTTTCAAACAGAGCCACCCAAGGAACCTGACCCGAGCGAGCCTGGCTTCCGGGCTGGAGAAAAAAAACCCAGAAGCCGGACCGTCCTCCTTAGGGACCGCCTAGTCCCGGCCACGGTCGGTCCACAGCTCCCACCTTATCTGTCAGTTTTCTCATTCTGAAGCAAGACTGGCCCACACAAGATGACCCGTTAAAACTCAGCGTTAAGTTATGACCTGTGTCCACATTTGTTATTTTTGTCTCCGCTTCAAAAAGCCAGCCCAAGGCAGCTGGAGAGGGGGAAGCTCTCTGGGCCCGCTGCTCTTCACCCCTGCAGGGAGTGGCAGGACCGGGGCAGGGACCCCAGGCTGTGGCGTGAGCACCTGGCCGCTGCAGGCCTGCAACCCGATGGCTTTCGGCTAGTCTCGCTTGCTTCCTTCTTCGCGGCCGGCGCGCTTTTCTATAAACTGGTGAAGAAGAATCTCAAGCATGTGCATTGAATTTTGAGAAGGAATCCTGGAAGAGCTACAGCAACCAAAGGAGAAAAAGAAACCACGTAAACAACGCAGGTGTTTTGTGAAGTGTGAAACGAGGCAATCAATGGGCAGGCCTAAGTGTTTCTCTAAGTGGGTTCCCCCACGACAAGGGTTAAACTCCCTCTCTGGCCTAGACTCCGAGTGGGACAACAAGCTCAGGCTTTGGCCCTAATTTTTTTTTTTTTTTTCCTGAATCCATTTTAAGTGCCCCTCTGTCCCAAAAGACACGTCTGCATTAGCTGCTTCATCCGCATCGAAGAGAATCTACCCACGCGCCTGCCTCAGTTGGAAGGAGCTCTGCCCAGACCGGTCGTGTGGTGGTTTTCTGCCCAGGTGTCTCTACTGTGCACACCGAGTCCTCAAGAGTCTTCCTACTTTGGTGCAGTTTCTGCAAACACCTAAAACTCTCAAAGTTCTTGGCCGGGGAGTTTTTCGTCACACAGATGTGTTCCTGTTGGCCTTTATTGTGGACACCCTGGGACAAGCCAGAGATTCATTTTTAGCCATTTAGTTTCTTCCCCCGTAATCCACACAGGATGTAAATATTCCTGGCCCTCTTCGAAAGGCTCTTCTTAGGGATTTCTCAGTCAACTCTGCTAGGTAGAAGCCGAGGAAGAGAATCATGGCCGTTAAGGGCTCGCTGTGGGTTTTCTGAGTCCTGGCTTCCTTGACAAGGTGACGCAGAGGTTAAATCTTCCCCACAGCTTGGCCAGGAGCCCGAGGCTTGGCGGCTACGGCCCGGAGGGTCTGGTGCTCCAGAGAGTGGGAGAGAATGCCCAGGGTATGACCTTTCAGTGGAGACCTAGCATTTAGCTTCCCCAACAACTGGGGACCTCTCTTCAAGCCCAGAGTTTGGCAAAATGCTCTTCTCTACAACATGCCAGTAAGAGCTTGACTACTGCTGCAGAGCTTCTGGGATGTGAAATTCTCCCTCATTAGTAAAAAGATTCCTTGTACGAGCAGCTTTACCTAAAGCATTTTCTCTCCAGCAAAATTGACTTCACGGGGGAAGAGTTAAAGTATTTGGTGAGTGATCTGTTCTCGCTTGACCTGGCTGGGAACCTTAGCCTTGTTTTTTTTTTTTTTTTTTTTTTTTTTTTTTTTTTTTTTGCACATGAGGGAATTTGGCCTTTCCTCAGTTATCTGAATGTTTTACCCAAGTGCCTTCCTGCTATTGTAGCAAAGTCTGTCTGCTTCGTTGTGCCTGGATGGGGAGAACAAGGGCTAACGTGTTTTCCATCGATCTTCCATCTCTGTCAGGGAAAAGGGCCTCCCGCTAGTTCAGACTCCTGTGCGTGTGTGTGTGTGTGTGTATGTGTGCGTGTGTGTGTGTGTCTAACGCACACGCAAGCTTTTTCTAAGACCTCCTAGCTGGATATTAGAGGAAGCACTTTCATAAACAACTATACCAAATAACAAAGGAAAGAGAAACCAAAGCATTAGTTTTGAGACCTAAACAGGCGAGAGAATGTGTATTAGGAACCGACAGCGATCAAGAAAGTTTGGTCAGTAACAAATGCCAGGAGGAAATTTTGCCAAGAGGAATTGCTCATGAAATATTTTCAGTCTGGGAAGAGGCAATAAGATCCTCTGAGAGAAGGAGAAAAATAAGGATGTCTAAGTGGTAAAGATGTGTGTGTGTTGCACGTGATAGAAGGATCTCAGGTCGAGGTTTGCACTTGCTACATCCAAGGTAAATATGTAGCACCGCCAACAGGAATCTACCATGTTGCTGAATGTAGTAGATTTCCCAAGTCTGCAAGTCTTCCTGTATTGTACAAAAATACTGCTGCTTGATAATATATAAGAGCGATCGAAATTAGTAGGTTATTAAATTTTATTTTCTTATCTGTATGTTTATGCTTTTTATCTGTCCTGAAAATATCACACCCCACCCCGTTAGAATTAGAAACTATTTATAAATGGTTGAAATCTTTTTCAAGTGTTTCTTTTTACATATGTTGTTGATTTTCTCCCCCTAAGGGAAATGATGTATTCTTGAAATTGTGTGATTCATGCTAGCAAAAAAAACAAAACAAAACAAAAACCAAACCAAAACAAAAACCAAAAACCCACCTCCGAGTCTGTCAGTCACCTGAGTCTTAGAAGAAAGCGTCTCTGGAAACAGGAATGGTTTTGTGGAAGAAGGAACGCTCTAATGGTTGCTTAAGAGGACATGGACTTCAGCTCTGAGCCTTCGTCTGGTCACAGAGGAGAATTGTAAAGTGTTGAGATTTCCCCCAAAGCAGTAGCCTAGGAGGTGATTTTGATTTAAAAACAAAACTGCCTGTGTTGTAATGGGATTCTGGAAGAGTTCATGTTCACAATGATAGAACCCTCAGTGCAGGCTCATGTTTACAGAGCTGACCAAATCCTGGTAGATAACCCCTCGTACGCATTATCCAAAGGACCTGCAGAGTTTTCCAGCAGAGACGCACCCTAGATGAATCGGGTTGATTTCTTCTAGAAGCTGGGAAACACTGATGTGGCCTTTCTTGTTTACATCCAGGAGCCAAGACGTCGGTCTCAGGAAGCCAGCCTTGGCCAGTGTGGGAGCGATCACATTTAGACAGATTGGAAGCTGATGTGTTCTAGTTGTCACTTGGAAATAAAGGGAAGGCTGAATGTGTTTATTTTCATGTCAAACACTTTCCAAGTGCTTTCTATTGTTTGGAATTGAAACTCTGTCAGAGGTCCGCTTAATAGTTTTGTTCGCGTTTACAAGAGTCATGGGGGTTGTGACATTCTTGACAAGCTGGGGTAAACTTTCCCGCACTCATTTTTTGGAGGGATAACCCGTTAGCAGGTACCCAACACATCCTAACCTCCCTCAGAGATGGTCCCTAAGCAAGCCCCTCTGAAAAGGAGATGGGGTGCTGGAAAAACAACACTGAACACTCGGCCTTGATGCATCTGTTAGCAGACCAAACACCTGCCTGGCTCAGGGTTTGGATGCACTGGATGCAAAGCCGTTTCCAGCAGAGCACATCCTTTCAGCATCGTGATTGGCATAAGCAGACAGAGGCTGTGGTTAGGACAAGCTTAGCGTCCCAAGCATCTTGTCAAAGAAGCTTCCTTACTCCCTTTGCCTCTACAGCCCTCAGAGGGGAGAAAATGTTGACGATGCCCGAATTAGTTCTCCAACAAATAGAATGCTCTCCAATGGGGTGGTGCTGGAAGGCTTAGGTTTTTAAAATCTTGACTGTTAAAGAAGTTTGAATACATCACATTCCTATGCAAAACGTTTTTAATCTCCAGTTTAATGTAGTTTATTTTTGCTATATGTAAAGTATTTTTATACGGCTTGTATCATGATAGTTTAGCAATAAAACAAACAGTTGAAAGAAAGCAATGGCTACCTTGGTGTATCTTTTCTTCTCTAGAGAGGCTGCTCAAATTTCCCCTTGACAATTTGAGTTCATATAAGGAGCTTTGGTGTGGGTACATATACCCTGAATGTGTTCAATCCTCGTCTGAGTCCTAGGAGGTAGATGCTCTCCATTTCTTATCTTACATTAGGGCTCAGAAGCCACGTGCCCCCAAGCGACGGAGCCACTAGGTCATCCTGGATTCGTCCGTTTCTCTCCCTCTCCCATCATAGAAGCTCTGCTATAATCAGTCCCTACACCTGTTTAGAAGCAGCATCCACGTCAAGATTTAGAATGTCCACCTTGGGCCAGCTCATGGAAGCTTTCAGAGCATTCAGAGCCAGCTGGGTTGAGCTGGTCACTTGAAAGGAAAAGCAGTTCTTTGCCTGAACATTTTACCCAATTAAAAAAAAGTCTCTTTTACCAAACCCACCAACAGAATTAGATATTGTAAATACTAGAACTTTCCAGCTGGCTTCCTCCTTACAACAGCTCCCCGCCCTCCACCCCGGGTACTTTAGCTGTTAAGAGGTTTGGGAGTAATCACTATTTAAGTCTTAATATTGTTCCAACATCATCCACTGGTCAGTGCTGCCCTTAAGCCCCGGGGAAGCCAGATCCCTGCCCCTGCTTCACAACCACTCTCCCACACCATGGCCCTGCCTTGGGATACCTTTCTTGGGCCCTTTCCAAGCCCCCCCTTCCAGGGTCTGGAAGCAGTAGTACCATATGGGTGCAGTGTCCCAAGCACACACAGGGCCCTGCATGGGTTCTGGCTACTGGAACCCGTGGTCCCCTCTAGCGGCTAGGACCAGCTAGTTCCCATTTCTGCCCT